ATTCCAGTGCAACACTTCAAGTTTTATTGCACGTGTTGATTGACAAATGGGTTCCAAGTTTATATGGAGCTGTCCGTCCATTCTCAAGTTAAGGAAGTTCGTGCTTATTCTAAGTTGAATGTTCCTCTTTCATTGCTGAGTGATATTTCACTCAGTAATATATCACAGTTTGTTTACTTGTTGATGAACAAGAGAGCTATTTCTAGTTTGGGGCTGTTTGGATTAAGTTGTTGTGTACATTTATGTGGAAGTTATGGTATGTGGACAGAAGCTATCTGATGCTTCCAGTGTGTTTATATAATTTTGTAGTCAGCCAGCATTTCGTGAGGGATTCAATTTGTCCACATTCTCTCCAGCATGTGGAGTTGTTGTTTTTTTCAATTTTGTAGCAGTAGTGAGTATAGAGTGATCATCTTATTGTGATCTCAACTTGCATTTTTCTAATGATGTTAAGTATCACTCTGTGTACTTTGGTGCTATTTCTTTTCAGCTGCACCTTTAAAAGTATTGTCTTTTAAATTGTGGAGTAACTGTTGAGTATTTATCTATTTTGGTCCTCATCAGATATCCCTTTTAGATATCTGTATATTTGTAAAGATCTTCACTTAGTTGGTGGCTTGTCCAAGAGTATCATAAGGAACAGAAATTTATTGGTGGTGTTCACTGAGTATTCTTGTAGTGGCATAACAAAGAGATTATTGCCTAACCAAGATCACTTTTGTATTTCCATGTGACTTTTATAAACATCTTTTCTATTGCTCCTAAAATTTGAATAGGATTTTGATTGCATTGAGTGTACAGATCAATTTAGAGAGACATAATGTCTTACTCTTCAGTTTCTGACTCATGGATAGAATCCATCTCTCTACTTAGGTCTCTATATTTCTCTTAACACTTGCTTTTAGTTTCAGGTGGTACAGTTCTTTTCACATTTCTGGTTAGATTTATCCCCATTTCTTTTTTGGTGCAATCACTGACGGTAGTATTTAAAATGTTTATTTTATTTTTTTTACTTTTCATTGTTAGTTTGTAGAAATTCAGTCAGTTATTTATTTTGTCCTGTAGTCTTCATAAAGATGGCCGTTGCCCTTGTTAAACAGTCTCAGTGTTGCTTGTTTGTGATAGTGAAACTGCACTGGTTGGTGGCATTGGTTACAGGTGGAAAAGTCACGGCAGAACCCAATATTAGTTTTTAGAGCTTTATTAGGAGGGAAAAGGGATAGAGAGAGCCAGGCCTGGGGGGAGGGAGCAGAGCGGGAACAGAGAGAGCAGAGAGTGGCGGTCCATGTCTGGCTTTTTAAGGGCAAGTACTTAGTTGCCTGCGTCCGCTGATGACGTAAGATGCCAGACCCCAAGGAGTAAGAGCAGAATCCCAACAATTTGGGTAGATTTTTATCAGATTATCCATACAGATTGTGTGTGTATGTATGAAGTAGTTTTATTTCTTTCCAATGTGGATGCCATTTATTTATTTATTTATTTTTGGTTCCATTGTTCTAGCTAGAACCTTCAGAACTATTTTGGTTGTAAAGGAAGACTCAGTTTAGGTTTTCTCTTCTGGTGTTGTGGGCTTGAAATCATTTCCATGTTGCAAATTAATGCCAGACACAGTGCTCACTGTGTTTGTTATCTCTCAGATGGAGCCTTGGTATCCTCAAAGGATTGGTTCTGGGACAGCTTACTTTTCCCAGGAGACCTCCAAATTCTAAGATACCCAAATTTGAGATGCATATTTCCATATAATTGAAATTATTGTAAATTGTATTTACTACTAATACAATGTGTGCTATGTAAATAGTTATTATATTGTATTGCTTAGAGAAAATAGCTTGTGCATGTTCAGTACAACCACATAAGTTAAGTACATAGCATTTGAGTGAGATAGAAGCGAGATAAGAAACAGTGCTTAGAGAATGAATTCTGAGGAGATAGTGAGAACCTGTGAAGTAGAGGAAGAACCATAGCAGAGTATCCCTCCATACCGTCGTGGACTTAGCATAGTGCTTGGTGCACAGCAAGGTCAATATTTGCTTTGGGGACCTTTAAGGAATTTTTTTTCCTCTTGGAATATTTCTATCCACAGATAATCCATAGATATACAAAAGGCCTATTAGACTTTAATGTTGACTACTCTCTGAAATGGTGGTTTCACACAGGAGGGTGAATCATGTTACTTTTTTGAGTATGAAAACACAAGTCTCTGGCTCTGTTTTAAAGGTATCCCAATCAGAGTTTTATGTTCATCATAGTTGCTGAAACAGTACTTACTTATCAATCCTCCTTTCGATGTATTAGCGGCATTTAGAATATTTAGCATTCATCTTTGGTTGATAACTTAAGTTGGTCTACAGAGTGCTTGACTCTTTGCTCTCCCCATCCAGTCTTCTGTCATCTTTGCAGAATTCTCTTCTTTGACACCTTTCTGTGCTGTAATGGACCACCAGTACTGGTCTTCGTATCTCCTTCGCTTTGTTCTTATTAACTTACAAATGTTTTCATGTAGTCACATGTCTTCACAAGCCTAGCTCTTTATAAATTGATACTAGGAATTTGCATGAAATCTGTCAGTTTTTCTAGAACAGCATTCTGTTAGAGATCTAGCTGCTTTTCCAACATTATGAAGTAGGCACCTCAAATACAAGAAGTCTAAAACCGCGCTTCAGAACTGTCTTCTTGCTTTTCAAAGAATTGCACTTGCTAGTCCTGTTTGATAGATGGATCTCTCATTCCACGTGCGCTGACCAGAAGTCATGGAGTAATTTTACCTTATCTGCAGTGCTTTTCACAATGTCGTTCATCCCACCTTCTGTATTCACCTGATTAATAACTTGTCAAAGTATCTTTTCATTTATGGAATAATTCAACTGGGTGTCATATATTTTTATGTGTAAAATGTAGAGCTTAATGTGTCATAATATGTGCATTTATTTATTGTAAGAGCAACTTTTTATTGAAAATAATTTTAGTAAGATGTATTCTGATTCTGATTTCCCCTTCCTCATATCCTCCCCACTCCCCACCCACCCAGATCCTTACCCTTTCTTTCCCTCATTAAGATACAAACAGGCATCTTAAAACAAATAATAATAAAATGAAATTAGATAAAATAAAACAGACCAGAATAGGACAAAACAAGCAAACCAAAAGAAAAAGAGCCAAAGAAAAGGCCCAGAAAACACATAGAGACATAGAGACACATGTTCGTACACACAGGAATTCCATAGAAACACAAAACTGGAAACCATAATATCTACGAAAAGGACCTGTAAAGAAAAGTTAAAAAAGTAAGAAAAACAACCTGTGACAAAGCATCATGAGACCAAGAATTTTTAGAAATGCCATTGAATTCGTTCTGTGTTAGCCATGTACTGCGGGGCACGGGGCCTGGCCTTAAGAGTGGTCTGTTTCCCCAGTGAGACTCTGCTGGAGAAAACTCATGTTTCCATTTGTGAGTAGTTACCAGTTGGAGGTAGCTTCTGGGTTAGGGATGAGGGCCACTTCCCTCTCATTGTTGGAACCCCATCAGACCCAAACCTATGGAAGCCCTGTGCATGCTGCCAGTCTCGGAGTTCATATGTGCATCCGTCATCTGTATTTAGAAGGGCTTTTTTCCTTGGTGTCCTCCATCTCCTCTGGCTCTTAGAATCATTCCATCTTCTCTTCCTTAGGGTTCCCTGAGCACTGAGGGAAAGAAATTGATGGAGATCCATTTAGGACTGAGTATTCAAGGTGCCTTACTCTCTATTCACTATTGTCCAGTAGTGGCTCTCTGTATTTGTTCCCATTTCCTGCAGGAGGAAGCTTCTCTGATGATGACTGAGTGAGACCTTGGTCTATGAGTATAGTAGAATGTCGTTAGGAGTCATTTTATGGCTGTGTTCCTTAGCAGAACAGTATTATTTGATTTTTCCCTTAGTTTCTTGGCCACCCAAGCATTGCTGGGGAAGGGTTTCATCTCGTGGAGTAGGCCTTCAATCCAATCAGATATTGGCTGGCTAGCTCTACTGTTACACTTGTGCATCTTACAGACAGGACGTCATTGTAGATTGAAGGATTTGTAGTTGGATTGGTGTTTTCCTCTTTCCCTTTGGTAGCATGCAGAGTCCCTTCCAGTGCCATGAACATTAGTTCATAGGGGTGAAGGCTCTAAGGTAAGTACCAGCTCTCCTTCTCTAGTGAATGAGTTGAGTAGCTCTTATCTTCAGCAGGGGAGCTATACTATTAGTTTGTGAAAAGGAACCAGTGGACTTAGCGGTACCTTGGGTTGTTTGGCCAGCAACTTGATTAGATGTGACCCGTTCCCAGAACCGGAGGCTTCATTTGGTAATGAGAGATGTCCATTTGGGGCTCTGTCTCCCTGTTAACTAGCAGGTTACTTAGATCACCTTCAGTTATGTAGATATTTTAGGAAACTACTGTATTAGACTTCCATACTTCTCAAATGGCCCTTAGTTTTAGCTGTCCTTCCCTGTATTCCCTCTCTCACCCACCTCTTGCCTCCCTTTTCCATCTGATTGTCCTGTTCCTGTCCCCTAATAAAAATCAATATTCATGAGACTTTTTCATGAGTTTTCATTAAAAAATACCTTAAAGCTTGGTAACTTTGAAATAACATCCACTCATCTTAGGTTCAGTGGGGAGAGGGGATCTAGACATGGTTCAGTTGCACCCTGCTTTAGAATCTCACAGTGCTGCAGTCAAGGTGGCAGCTAGGTCTGAAATCTCATGTGAAGTCTGATGTGGGCAGAACCTGCTTCCAGGCTTGCCTCCAGTGGACTCCCCTTTCTACTGAGCTCACTGTTGAATGATTTGACAGTCATTTGGAGTCTGACTTCCAGCTGACCCCAGATCCCAGCTCTTTTCAGTAAGAGTACTGTTGGTGTGTGTCTGAGTGGGACGGGCAGGTGGAATATGTGTTAGTGTGTAGAGAAAGGGACAGTGACTATATGTTAGCATACGTTTTCCATTATTAAAACTATATTGTGTGTGTTTCTTTACAGGTGCCTTAGCTGGATCAATTATCGTGGAGCCACATGTCACAGCAGTGTGGGGAAAGAATGTTTCATTGAAGTGTCTAATTGAAGTGAATGAAACTATAACACAGATTTCCTGGGAGAAGATACATGGCAAAAGTACACAGACTGTTGCAGTTCATCATCCTCAGTACGGGTTCTCTGTTCAAGGAGACTATCAGGGAAGGATCTTGTTTAAAAACTATTCACTTCATGATGCAACGATTACTCTGCATAACATAGGCTTCTCAGATTCTGGGAAATACATATGCAAAGCTGTTACATTCCCACTTGGAAATGCCCAGTCCTCTACAACTGTGACTGTGTTAGGTAGGTGCTTGAGTTGGGTTTGATTACTGTGATAAATAGCATATTAAAAGTGTTTTCAAGAATATAAAAATGAGGATATCTGTAAATGTGATTTAAATTGAAAACATTCGGATATACATTCTCAAATTCTGTCTTAAAGTTGTGTATTTCTAGGCTCTCTTAATGTAAGCAAAGTCTGTGTGTACCCGTCTGTAATGTGGCATAGTTTTAGCTCTTTTTATAATGGGTGGCACTTTAATTACAGTGACGATGTGATTTTCAGCTGGGCATGGCGACTCACACCTGTCATTCCAGCTCTTGAGAAGTGAGGATGATTATTGCCATAAACTCCAGGTTAGCTGGGGCTACCGAATGAAATCCTTTTCTTAAAATCGGAACTCTTAAAACATTTTATTACTTCCTTCAATATTAAAACCTTAGTTACATTTTTGTTGTTTAAATTTTTCCTATTTTTTGTTTGCTTCTTTTTCTCTAATGACTTGCATTGGACCTCTTGGAGTCTTTTGCCAGCGTGTATTTCAGTTTTTCACAATGATTTTTGTTTCTGCCATTGAAGAATTGTATGTCTATTTTAATCATATACTATTTTCCATAATAAACTTTATTTCACTGTTTCCTCCCTGAATTGTTAGAGTTTATGGTGAAACTTTGAATAAACCTGTTAGCATTGTGGTAGTTCCCTGAAGTGGAGTATAAAGCAATCTGGAAATGCAGATGAGTACTGTAGTAGTCAGAGATCGGGGGTGGGGGAGCAGCAACAATCTGTAACGGAAGTGGAGGAAGTGGAGAGCGAGACACTGCTCAGCTCCTCCTGCAGAAAGCCTCATTGCTAAGCTAGAGGAGCCAACACTTTCCCTAAGGCCAGTAAGATTCCCTTAGTAAGATACAGGGTGAATTGGTGGACACAGAAGTTAAAACATTTTATAAAAGGACTGGCTGGTAGTCTTTAAGTAATGGGTAGTTTGAGGTTGGCACATGGAAGGAAATTTAGGGAAACTTGCTACTGGGCTTGACAGAGAGCTAAGTCTGAGAGGTACTTAGAGCAAAGTTTCCTTAATACTCAGTTGTTGAGTGTGAGAACTAGAATTCTTTTTGTTGAGGATTCTGTCCTATTCCTCATAGAATGCGTTGCAGATCCATGGACTCCAACCCATCAAATGCCAGTCACTTCCTCATTGTGATGAAAATCTCTCACCATGCAAGTGTCCTTTGGGAAAGTATAGGGTAGAAGGACTTGAAATGGTTGGAAATGGACCACTGAAAAAGTAATTTGTCAGCTGAGCAAAGGATTTGTATGAAGTATAAGACATTCTACATCTGGAGCATATGAAAATAACTTGAATGGAAAAGTTGGTATTTCTGCTCTAAGTGTGAGCTTGTGCTCCTGCCTCATCTGCCCTCAAGCCTGTGGTGCTTGAAGTTTAGTTCATAGGTCAACAGCCGTGGTCTCACTTGGAAGTGTGTTAGACACGGCATTTGAGGCCCATTTTGTAGTTTATTGAATAGTGTTCTCTAAGTTTAGCAAAGTCGTAAGGGGTCCAAGGAGACAGAGCAGGAAGGTTGCTTAGCGCAGAGGGCATCTGTACAGAGAAGCCAACTGAAGTGATAAAACTACTTTACCTGGAAATTTTTACCAAGAAAAATTAGCAAGCAGTATCATTCAAAATTGACTTTAGATATACATGTTCCCTGAGGAAAATACATTTTTAATGATTCTATAATTTTTTCAGGCCAGCTTTTCAGCTGGGGTGTTTGGAATCCCAGAGTATATAGTGAGGAGTATGACTGCATTAATACTGGGAAAAGATGAAGGTATAGAATTTAACCTTGCACTGAAAGCTGATTGATCCTGGAGAAACATTGTGATGGTCAGATGAGATTTGGGGCTGATAGAAGGGAGAGATTCTGGCTTCTCAGCCTTGGGGCTAAGATAAGTGAAGCAAGAGGCAGTCTGAAGTGAAATTCTGTCCAGGATGGAGTGTCTTACCTAAAATTCGATTTGTATTTCAAAGGTTTGCACTCTCAGTAGTAGTGAGCTCGAATCGTGTTTGAAGAGTCCTAGACCCGGGGCGTATTACTTAAGTAGGCTGGACTTGAGAAGATTCTGGCCTAGTTAGTTTATAGGAGTTTGGCATAAAGAAAGATTTTTTTTTTCTTTTGAAGGGAATATCTTTAGTGTCAGAGTATTTCTACATTAATAATTCAGATATAGGTCTGCCCTCTACTTGAGGACCACCAGTCTTACAAGTAAAAAAGGTCGATCTGATCTTCAACTCCCTGTACAAATAAGACAACAGAAATAAACTCATGTCTGGGGTATGGCTCAGTTGGTAGAGTGCCTAGCACATGTGAAGACTGGGTTTTAACCCTCCAACTCAACATAAATTGGCCCGGAGGGGGGGGGGGGCGGTGGGGGGGGAGGACGACACCACCACGAGGACACATTCTTGTAATTCCTACATTCTGCAGGTGGAGGCAGACAAAAGAGAAGGTCAGTCACAGCAGGCTGCAGAGTGAGTTTGAGTTTGAACCTAGCCTGGGATGCACAAGACTGCCTGAAAAAACACCCAAATGGATCTACATAGACATAGGATGCTAGAATTACCAGAGACTTTTAAACAATATTGCTTGTTCCATTTGAGGAAATGCATCAATCTATAAATTCATGGAAAAAACTAGAAACAAACAAAAATCATATAGTAGTTGGCTTCGGATAGGAGAAATAGGATATTTCTTGGTACATAGTCAACCATCAAAGTAATTAAAAACATAATATATTTGAATTAACTTTTTCAAAAAGGACTAGGGACATAACTCAATGACAGAACATGTGTCTAGCATCCACAGGGCCTTGGTTCAGTTCCTGAGCATCTCAAAAACAAAACACAGAATAGTAGAATGGCAGGTTTGAAACTGATAGAAAATAATCTGTGCTACGTATAATTTAGAAGACACTGTTTTTTAAGATTTATGTACAACCTCTACATACCAGTTTAAAAAAAAACAAAAAACCAAAAAACCTCGCCTCAATATACATTTGGCAGAAAAAGAAGTTGAAAATTAACCTAAAATATGTAATATTATCTACCCTCATTCATAACTTGAGAAATTTAAACCTTAATGATACGTCATGTCATATATGAGATTGGAATACTGAATCGTTTAATAAGATTAGCTGGTGAATATATAGATCCATATCTTGAAGATTGCAAGTTAATTGGCACCTCGAGTAAGTTTAGGTGAAATTGAAAATAAACATGATAGAAGCAGTTCTAGTATCTGGGACAAACCAGAGAAAGTTGTGTATAAATATACCAAGATATGGATATGTACTCCAGGTACAGGTAAAGTAAGGCTGTCTGGTTTGGATTTGCCTTATTGATTCTAATGAGAAGATACTTAAAAATTCATTTACCAAGTTAGAGTTATGGTTCCACATTAAAGTAGATAGGGTAAGACAAAGAGAGAAAAGAAACTTGTGAGTTGCTCGGATTCCTAGTTCAGATGGTGGTAGATACACGGATATTTGCTAGAAATTTATTCATTATGTATATATTTTTTCTTTCCCTTTGTTTCCCAGAGGAGAGGTACAGAAGGTAATATTAATAGCCTTTAAAGTAAAATATAGAGCAAATAGGTAGATAGGTACAAATTAGAGATAGAGCAAAACTAGTAACTTATTTAAAGGTTATTTACTTTAAACTTTTTGCTTAGGATGTACATACAATATACATAAAGTATAAAACTTTATTTCAGAAGTAATGACTTTAATATCATAAAGGAAATTATGATTGACTCTTTTAATTGGGTTATATTCCATTCATCTCAGAAGGTGAAGCTTTATCAGGGACAGCCATCTTTGTGATTATAATTTAAAATTTAAATTCTTGTTCCAGGAATGCAGTTGATATTGGCATTACTTAAAAAATACTTGTGTGATTTTATTTGTGTTTGTCCCTAAGATTATGAACTGTTTCTAGATTTTGCTAGAACAAATTGTAAATACTTTATTAATTGAAGTACAACTTTTTTTTTTTTTTAATTTAAACAGTTGAACCTACGGTGAGCCTGATCAAAGGGCCAGATTCTTTAATTGATGGAGGAAATGAAACAGTAGCAGCCATTTGTATAGCAGCCACTGGCAAGCCAGTCGCACATATTGACTGGGAAGGTGATCTTGGTGAAATGGAATCTACCACAACCTCCTTTCCCAATGAAACAGCAACGATTGTCAGCCAGTACAAGCTGTTTCCCACGAGATTTGCTAGAGGAAGGCGAATTACTTGTGTCGTAAAACATCCAGCCTTAGAAAAGGACATCCGATACTCTTTCATACTAGACATACAGTGTAAGTACGCGCCAGGGTCTGCTTACTCGATGTACGTAAGGGTGTGCCAACGTCTACTTGCAGCTTAAGCTGCACACCATATTTTCTCCTGTTGTCAGAGTTCTTCATCAAATTGCCTTTGGTTTGAGTACTGAGTATGCAGATACTCCTATAGCAGAAATGCTCAACTTAAACATGTTTAATTGTGTCCTTTTGAGACTTTAAAGTAGGCTAGCCTTAAGGAAGCTGTGGAAACTTGTACCTCAGGTGTGCACTACTTAAAAGATAAACAACTGCGTTGTGGGCTGCTGACCCTGCCCTGGGTCTTACTGTTTTCAATAAGAATCTTTTACTTGGATGGTGGTGGCACACACCTTTAATCACAGCACTCCATAGACAGAGGCAGGAGGATCTCTGGGTTCCAGGACAGCCTGGTCTACAGAGCAAGTTCCAGGACAGCCAGGGCTAGCTACACAGAGAATCCCTGTCTTGAAAAACAAAATAAAGTATTGCTGTGGGATGTTCTATATGTCAAATGTGTTGCTGATTAGTCAATAATTAAAACACTGATTGGCCATTGGCTAGGCAGGAAGTGTAGGCGGGACAAGGAGGTGAATAAAGCTGGGAAGTGGAAGGCTGAGAGAGACACTGCCAGCCGCCACGATGAGAAACAGCATGTGAAGATGCCGGTAAGCCACGAGCCATGTGGCAAGGTATAGATTTATAAAAATGGATTAATTTAAGCTGAAAGAACAGTTAACAAGAAGCCTGCCATGGCCATACAGTTTGAAACCAATACAAGTCTCTGTGTTTACTTGGTCGGGTCTGACGGCTGTGGGACTGGCAGGTGAGAGAGATTTGCCCTGACTGTGGGCCAGGCAGGAAAACTCTAGCTACAAAGTATCTTTTACTTTCCAGATACATTTTAGCTAGTTTGAAAATCTGTCTTCAGTATTGTTCCAAAATGTTCTTACTGATAATATCATACAATTTTTATGTAGTTGAGATATTTTAAAGCTATCATTTGGGATAGTAAAAACTATATACAAGAATCAAATCTGCCTGCTTTGTACTTAAAAGTTTTGAGGAGTTCTCACATGTGTTTATATTTTCATGTGTACCTACATTTCACTTTTCAGCAGTTTCTGGTTTTGATGCATTGTGATTTGTTTGGAATTTTAAATTTTTGAGTAAAAATAGTTGTTGCTTTTCTTTCAGCAAGGGTGACTAACATTAGGTGGATTGAAGATAATACTAGCAAGTGTTTAAGTCTGCTGTCATTGCCATACATGCAGATTGAAGTCATCTGTATTGGGGTTTTGAAGTTGTGCTTAGGAGTTTAGTGCTGTGGGATGGTCTGTATGTCAAGTGTGTTGCTGATTGGTCAATAAATAAATCACTGATTGGCCAGTGGCCAGGCAGAAAGTATAGGCGGGACAAGGAGGAGAATAAAGCTGGGAAGTGGAAGGCTGAGTCAGAGAAACACTGCCAGCCACCACGATGAGAAACAGCATGTGAAGATGCCGGTAAGCCACGAGCCACGTGGCAAGGTATAGATTTATGGAAATGGATTAATTTAAGCTGTAAGAACAGTTAGCAAGAAGCTTGCCACGGCCATACAGTTTGTAACCAATATAAGTCTCTGTGTTTACTTGTTTGGGCTGAGCGGCTGTGGGACTGGCAGGTGAGAGAGATTTGTCCTGACTGCGGGCCAGGCAGGAAAACTCTAGCTACAGTTTAGATTACACTACTCATTACACTTGAATAAAATTGATTGTGCTGTGCATATAGTAAAGACCATTTGGCTTCAGTGAATACATAGTTTGTTTTATCACTGTTGAAGCCCTAGATATTTATTGTACTTGTATATATTCTTGAAAAGTGTGTGCCACAGCTCTACATGTGCACTGAATATGTATGAATCTTATTTCTCTTAGATTAAACACCCTTTTCAAGACAGCTATATAAGGTATTTGGTACTAAGGCAGTACCTAAATGCCAGTCTCCTTATTTAAGTACAATAATGTATTTGTTTTGTTTGAGTCTACAGTGGGACTTATGAAGTCTTACATTTAGCATCCCAGCTAAATAAAGCCATGGGAGGTTTTGTTTATGTGGTATCTGAATTCCATTCATCTATTCATTCATTATTTTAGTTAACTACTGTTTACTGAATATTGTCTGCCTGGGTGATTATGTTGAAAGTAAGGAAAAAAATTTTCCCTTGCATTGATGTTTTTTCATTGTGTAGTGTTTTTACTCCTAACAAAGGATGATTGTGTCTGCATTCATTGAATTTATAGATGCTCCTGAAGTTTCAGTTACAGGATATGATGGAAATTGGTTTGTGGGAAGAAAAGGTGTTAACCTCAAGTGCAATGCTGATGCCAATCCTCCGCCCTTCAAGTCCGTGTGGAGCAGGTAAAAAGAGTTAAATCCACAGTGGCTAATTGTTTAAAGGAGAAAGGTATTCTTCAGTGCATTAAAATTGATTTTAATTAGGACAGTGCATAATTAATAGCTGTGAAGAAATTAAACAAAAGTTTTCTCAGTATTTTTCTACACTCTTGCTGTCTCTTACCATCCTGTCCTTGAATTTCTGATCCTTACTGGCAACAGTGTTAGAGAATTTAGCTTTTTTCTTTTTCCCCTGTAATTGCTATCATAGGTCTGATGAAAGCTAGCCAGCAGAGAGTAAAATTCCAGCACAGTGTCAGCTGGATGTCTCTGTACCCTGCAGTTACGGTGTGTGTTATCTTAGGCAATAGAGTCTTACCTAATTCTGGTAGACAGCCAAGAGAAATGGCAAGAGGTTATATTGTTTGGGGCCTCTAGTGCCTAGCTAACTAGGAGCTTATAAAGAGGCAGCTCAGATCTAGCACTGGGATTGTTGTTTAATGATCTGTGACTTTTAGGAGCAGCACTCTCCAAATCTTGCAGAAGGACTCTCTTCTACTCTCACTCTTGTTTTTGGCCTACATTTAAATTAGCGAGGCTCCATATGGCCTTTTCATATATACTTCATAGAAATGACCCCTTCCTGTCATTAAGATTACCCCCTTCCTGTCGCCTCCCTACGTTCCCTACCCCTAACCTTCTTTAACTTTCCATCTCCAGTATTCCTTCTGTCCACTTATATCCATATCAGCCATGTTCTGCTACATCCCCGTTAAGGCCCACCCAACCCAAGTGGCCCTTTCTGACTTCCTGAGATTCTGTAAGTACTCCAAATTGAACACAAATCTAAAGATTCAGTGCTAGGGTCTATATATGAGACAGCATGGAGTGCTTTGGTTCTGGACCTGGGTTACCTCACTCCTAACTTTTTCTAGTTCCATTTACTTGTAAGTCTTATTTTCTTTACAACGGAATAAAATTAATTGTATCTATCTGCTACATTTTTATTATCCATTCATCAGTTGATGAACATCTGAGCTGATTCCATGTCTTAGCTGTTGTAAAGAGAGCAGCATTAAACATTGTTGAACAGAAATCTCTATAGTAGAATATAGAGTCCTTTGAGTATATCCCTAGCGGTGGTATATCTGGGTGGTATGATAGTTCTAGTTCTAGCCTTTGAAGAACTGATTTCCATAGTGACTTCCTTGCTTTACACCCCCACTAACAGTCACTAAATACTCTTCTTTGCCTACATCCTTGACAGCATATGTTGTCTATTGCTTTCTTTTACGTTTTATTAATTTTTATGTGTATGTGCTTGCATATGTATATCATGTTCATATAGGAGCCCATGGAGGACAAAAAGGCATTACAATCCTGTAATTAGATCTGTAATTAGACAGTTATGACAGGCTAGATGGGTGCTAGGAACCCAGCAAAAGTCTTCTGCAAGAGCCACAAGTACTCTTAACTGCTGAGCCATTTCTCAGGCCTTCATTAGATTTCTTGATGATAGCCATTCCAGCGGGTAAAATAGACTTTCAGGGTAGCTTTAATTTCCCTGATGACTAACAATGTCTAACTTTTAAAAATGTTTATTATTAGCCATTTGTATTTTTTCCTTTGAGAATTATGTTTAGATTGTTAGTTTCATCTCTGTTGCTATAACAAAACACTCTGACCAAAAGTAAATTAGGGGAGGAAATGGTTTATTCCCCACTGAGGAAAGTTGGGGCAGGAATTGAAGCAGAAAACTAACTTTCATGTACAGCCCAGGGCCATCTACCTAAGGATGGTGGTGCCCACAGTGGTCTGGGCCTTCCTGTATCCATTAACAATCAATTAAATGCGAAATCATTTCCCCAGTCATGCCCATAGACCCACTCTGATCTATCAGAGTAGTCCTTCAATTGTGATTCGCTTCTTCTGTGACTCAAAGCTTTATCAGACTGACAGTGAAAGCAAACTAGGACTTAGCTCCATAGCCTATTTTTAGATGAGAGTCTTTTCTTGATGTTTGTTTTAATTTCTTGTGTGTGTATTGTGTATATTAACTTTGCAGATATGTAGCTGGCAAAGACTTTTCTTTCATTGTATGGGCTTTTCTTTGCTGTACACAAGCTATTTAATTTCATGAGGTCCAATTCAATTCGTCAGTTGTTGGCTTTGTTTTCTAAGAGACTCAAATTCTGTTTAAGAAGCCTTTGCCTATGACTTGTAGCTCATCACCTTCCTTTTTCCTCTAACAATTTCAGAGTTAATGGTTTTCTGCTGAGGTCTTTCATCTACTTAAGAGTTGGTTTGTACCAGGAGAGAGATACTAATGTATTTTCCCTCTGCAGTGAATGGTGTTGAATACAGAGCCCCATGATTGCTCAAGATGCTGAGACCAAGTGATAATAGAGTACTCAACCCTGAATAGGACATTTATAGCACCCCATCAAAGGCTTGGGGAATATTTTGAAGAGTGGGTAGGAAATAAAAAGCAGGAAGATGAGGAGAAGAGCTGTGAAATATTGTCTTCTGTGCCTGACAAAATTAGTGCAGGCTGTGGCAGCCTGTACTGACCCTGCACATGACCAGTCAATGATTTATCAAGAAGGGACTTACAGGCGCCAATCCCTGCTTACTGAACTATTGGCTAGCCTGCATTCTGGGGAAGGGGATGAAATGTGCTGTCTTCAGTTAGGTCCCCACAGATGAGCCCACTAGGCTCCAGTAGATCGTCACACCAATAGTTTTGGTTAAACTCAGTGTGCCACAAAAGAAAACATGAATGGAAAAAGCAACTCTTGAGGGTGGGGCAGAAGGGGTTTGGAGCTTCAGATATGGTAGAGGATGACAGTCATCAGAATGTAGTATATATGTAATTGGTGAAATTGTGGAAGAAATTTAATAAAAGCTATGAAAATCTTCCCTCTCATTATGTTGACCTATCTAACATATATAGATTAATTTCCTGAAGAAATGGGTGTACTTAATGGACTTGATAGTTCATCTTTATTGAAATGAAATTTATGTGTGCTTATAACTAATTATATCCAAAAGATAGAGAGTTTTATTGGCATCTTAAAAGTATAACAGCTTAAATAGTTGTTAGTGTTTGCTAATTTAAGCTATTTAAAATAATGTCATGCTTTTTAAACATCTAGGTTGGATGGACAGTGGCCTGATGGTTTATTGGCTTCTGACAATACTCTTCATTTTGTCCATCCACTGACTTTCAATTATTCTGGCGTTTATGTCTGTAAAGTGACAAATTCTCTTGGTCAAAGAAGTGATCAAAAGATCATCTACATTTCAGGTAAGCTACTGCCTCCTTTCAAGATGAGTTAAAGTAGTATTATCATAATAGTTATAATGTAATACTGTGTAGTAATTTATACTCCTAGCAGCTTAGATTCATTGATAGTTTTAAAAATAATACTAGGGACATGGTAAAGTAATAGCATCTAAAATATGTATATAAAGTGGTAGTTCTTTAAACAAATATCAAATGAGTATATAACAAGTTCTGCATATTTCTTTGACTGGTAGCATGTCTTTCTATTGTTTGGTATTTAAATAATGAACAGTGTTGCATATTTCTTTGACTGGTAGCATGCCTTTTTAAATTCTTTGGTGTTTAAATACTGAACAGTGTTTTTGTTTTTTTTCTTTATTTGCTGCTCTGCATGTAATTGTTGGAAAAATAAAATGGGATATTAACTTTGTTAATTTGGCTTCAGAAATAACATTGCTTGCCATTGGAGATAAGACGGCCATTTTAGGTTAAGGAGAGGTGAAATAAGAATGCTACTGTAAGTGTTGTAATGAAGTCAAATTTGGTATTTTTGGTCGGTTTTTATGCCTTTAAAATATTGATTTTGCCGGGCGGTGGTGGCGCACGCCTTTAATCCCAGCACTCGGGAGGCAGAGCCAGGCGGATCTCTGTGAGTTCAAGGCCAGCCTGGTCTCCAAAGCGAGTTCCAGGAAAAGCGCAAAGCTACACAGAGAAACCCTGTCTCGAAAAACCAAAAAAAAAAAAAAAAAAAAAAAAAAAAAAAAAAAAAAAAAAAATTGATTTTTTTCATATATTGTTTGTTTCACTATGAAAGTTTTGTTAATTTCGTTCAGTATAAATTTGAACATTCACAAAATATAAGAACAGAATCCACATTTTTTTTATTAATAGTTATAAATTACCCATGAGGTACTAATGTAGGAAAAATACATTAAATATTTGAGTAATTCTTAATGATTACTCAAATGAAGGATATAGCAGTCTTCACATCTAACACATGGAAAATGAGGATGGTCAAAAAGAGGACTTTGAAAAGGTTTGTGTTATAGAATGGATAGTTATGGTGCTCAGTCTCTTCAAAGGTATGAATAAGTTATGGATTTTAGAAAGCATTATCTTTGTGTTTTCAGTGATGTGTGACCCTGTGCTTGTCCCCAGTGTCACTGCAGGCTAGTGGTGTGCTTATGTTGATGTTCACCTGTCCTCAGGACAATCAGTAGATGAGTGCCTAGCACACAGCAGAGCTCCTGTTTTTTGTATTGTGCTCGCAAAGAACATAAAGCTATGTACAGCCACATACAGCTCTTTAGTAACAACACTTCAATGGGAAGTTGATTAAAGTATACAAGTCACTTTTTTCCCTTAAAGAACAAGTCATAGTCAGTGTATATTTAAGTTACATTAAAAACTTAAATTTTAGTTTCCTGAAGAGTATTGAATTTACCATTTGTTGCTTTTCCACAGCTTCTTATGGGGTATTTGATCTTAGCTCCAAATGTTACTGTTGTATCTTTATGAATCAGGTTCACGTTGGTCTTTTACAGGTGTTTACTGAGTCCATTGGTGATCAAACCTAGACTTCTTGGATTCCGGGGTTATTATTTCTTTCTTTCAGTATTCTCCACCTTTGTTTCAGTTGCCTATGCAGAGTCATTAAATATATGCAGAAATTGAGCAGGTATTTACAACTCACCTTGTTCAAACCAAGGTCTGTCCTGACTTTTCTCTTGCCCCTTGATCCAAACCTGTTTCTCTTGTTGGTCCCTCCTTTCAGTTGCTTGTGAGTTCTGTCATATTCACTCAGGATACAGCCCTTCTTAGCAACCTCCTTTCCTCTTTCTCCTTTGCGCCACTCAGTCCGACAACAAACCTGTATCAGCTCTCCTCCGCAGTATGAAGTATTATCCACGCTACACCTCTTCTGCTGTTGCTGCTATGATCAGAACGACGAGAGCTTTTCTCCTCTAAGCTGTTAATCTCCCTCTTTGGACCTGTCCGTCCCCCTTCAGTCTGTAATCAGATAAGCAGCCAGTCATCCTTTTAAAGAGTGCATTAGATTATGTCACTCCTCCTTAAGTCTTCCTGGAACTTTACTTACCTATGGTCAAAACCAGATCTTCACAGCAAATACCGGCTCTGTGTGCGCTCTTTAACATCATGTCTGTGTTTCTTGTTCCCTGGTTCATCCACACTGGCCTCCTTTCTCATTGAACATAATAGAAAATTGCATTTTCTATTCCTGTAGCCTGGAGTAGCTATCCATAGGTGTCGTGTAGCTCTTCCCTCAGTTGTTTTTCCAAACTGTCATGTTTTCCAACAAAATCTCTCTTCTTTCTATGATTTTTCCATACCCTTTTACTGCCTCCTCTCCTCTACTTATCCTTCTCTTTGGTGCTTGTCAATATGGCATACTCTTTATTTTTATCCATATGCTTATCTTTTTTTTTTTTTTTTTTTTTTTTTTTTTTTGGTTTTTCGAGACAGGGTTTCTCTGTGTAGCTTTGTGCCTTTCCTGGAACTCACTTGGTAGCCCAGGCTGGCCTCGAACTCACAGAGATCCGCCTGGCTCTGCCTCCCGAGTGCTGGGATTAAAGGCGTGCGCCCCCACCGCCCAGCTACTGATCTATTTTTATCTCCACTAGAAGTTAACTCTTAAGAGGGCAGGGATATGTATCCATTTTAATCATGGCTATATTGCTGTCATGTCCAATAATCTGTCACATACAATAGGTTTTTCAGTACATTTTTGTTGCATGAGTGAAAAATAGATTTAAGAAAGAAATAAACTTATTTTCTTTGTTTAACTGATGAAAATCCTTGTTTAAAATTAAAATCTAATAAGTGTTATAAACTGGGGAGAAAGCTTTAAGTAAATATAAAAAGTCAGTTTAATTACCTCAAACAACTGCTGAAGAACACAAGATAACATTGTGTGAGGTAGTGTTTCTCAAGTAATCAGGAATTAGAGTTTACCTTTCTATGCAGAGTCTATGACACCGTTTTCTTTGCCAAGCATATTACCTTCTCTGTTGCTGCTTGTGCTGTGTTAAGCAACCTAGATGTGCTGGTGCTTTTACAGAGGTGTTTTCTCATCAGTTTACTGGGTTTTTATCAGGGTAAGAGTCTGTATTTGACACAGTAAGATTTCATCTCACTGTTAAATGAACTTTTAAAAATATATAATCTTACGTCAAGAGTCAAAATTTTGCTTAGAAAAATAGAGTTGGCAACTCCGAAATTGTGAAATTGTTTTTAATATCTTTATGTTTTCTCACATGAATGGCCATCAGGCTTTGGACAGAAAGCTGTGGGCTCATGTTTGCAGTATTCAGCTTAGGTAGTTGCACTGTATTCTAGCACAGTGTCACTCTCGTGGCTCTCAGGTGGCTCTTAGTCCAAGACTAGCTGAGTGCTGGAAATTTATTTTTCTGCTTTGCTGTTTGCTTGTACTTTCCCATAACTGATTTTTTACTTCTCTGAAAGTAGAAGGGCAAATTAAGACATTTCACATCATCACCTCATGCCCTTCATTCTTACTCCTCTGTAAAGTTGAATTTCATATTATTGATTTTAGGATCCAGACATAAATTTAAGAATCTACAAATGACAATTTCTGACTTTAAGATATGTTTTTTTTAAATTTAAACAACCTACATATAGTATAAAGAAATGAAAGTCAATATATGTAATTTTTAACACAATTATCAGTAAACTGAATTGTACATTATGGCTACAAGGATATTCCTGAATGTACTATATGTTGTACTGTTTGGCAGAACTAATTAATTAGTTGGTGAAACAGACTTAAAAGGCTCTTCTTTTGGGAGCAATTACAGAGTCAACTGAAATTCTTTATATCTATCTCAGAATCAACTGAAATTCTTTATATCTATCATCTTCTCATATGTCAGACATTTAGCAAAGAACCTAAAAATGGCTGATTGAAACAATAAAGAATTTTGATGTGATTTTTACATCACTATCAATAAGTAGCTGTTGATGATTATTAGAACCTTTGACTTCATGCGTGAACTATGATTCAGTCTAGATTAAAATAAAAAAGATAGGTCTGCTATACATTGCCATATACCCATTGCTTAGAATGTGCAATGAAGTGTTAACTCCCTGGACTCCTGACATTATGGCTATTATCTTTAATACTGGTTAAGGAGAATAGTGAATGCAAAATTTCCTAGGGCCACTAGTAAGGTTACTAAAGTTTTAAGTATTTTTGTTAGATTTTTCTGAAATCTTTGTTTTGTTAAATATGAGAAAAAAGACCAGACAGCTATTTGTGTACATTTAAAGAACTTTATAAGTTGAAATAAAAATGTCAAATTTTTATCAGTATATTGTAACACCATTGAGTTTCGTATTTTCTACCTGGTTGGAGCTCAGGTGTATGCATTGCTTAAGAAAAACTAGGGCATGAGGAGCTGTCATAAGCCTTGGAAGTCTCCATGTATACAGGTGGATACAGATGGATAAGTTTTACATAATTAATGTAAGCAATTTGTATTTTTATTTTGATGTGCTGGTACATTCTCTTTTGCAGTCTTTACGTAGGTACCATTCAGTAGCTCGGCTGGCCAGTACTCCCCTAAACAGATAACTTGTCTCAGGAAGGAGTGTAGGTGTTTGTCTTATTTCTCTAGTCCTCAACTCATCGAAGCTGGATCATAGGAAGCTTTACTGCTTTACAGTAAACAGAATCCTTCAGTTTCACAATTGCTTCTTTCAGAATGAACTTGTTCAGCTTGAGAAGACTCTTATAATAAAGTTGTCCTAACTTCACATACATATAGCACTTGATAGCATCCAGCAGTAGCTTACAGCCATAGGAAAAAGACGTCTATGATATTTGGTGATTTTTTTTTTAATTACTGTACTTGCTAAATTTTTACTACATTCTATACATATGGCATTCCGTGATGAAACCTGTTTCAGTAAGTATATTTCTTTAGCTTGTGATGTTAGAATAACTTACCCCATGTAGATTTAGTATTTTTCTAACAATCATT